GTTTGATTTAATTTATTTTGGTCTAATTTATTTTTATGTATCATATTAATATATGTTTAGTATGGTTTTGGAAGTGCGCTCCAACATATTTGTTGATCTTGTTTATTGGTAAAATATTATTTGTTTTAAAGTTCAATAAATGGTCAATGAATAATCGTCAAAATAATCGTGATATCAATTATTGACCCAAATAATCGTGATTATGATTTTTGCCATAGTCGCACAACCCTACATTAGACATGAACGCGCTCTCAGCTGGAGTCCCGGGATGATTTTTAGTCCCATTCCACCACTGGCTACATGACCGTATGATCGCCCATATTGACGCACCTAATTCCTAAACTTCTAACAGATACAACATAAACCGATCCTTCAGCCTCATATGAGCTCTCAGACACGTTCAACATTAAACTGTCATCGCTGTCTGAGCTTGCTGCTGTGTGCGCCATCGTGCGTTTACATGCAGATGCTGGGATCCTGAACGGTGCAGCTGGAGCGCTGTGCCCGCAATGACGTCACACATCATTTGGCGGGACTTGAAGAATCCCCGAGAAGATCCAGGAAATGGTCAACATTGAAGGGCAGATTAATGGTTATCAAAGTACAAATATCTAAAATCAGTTCAGTAACGGTTTTCAAGGGGACAATATTTACTCAAATTGAAGGGTTTGGATGATGGGGGAAACTCGTGTCACAGGCTCTTTAAACCACTGTAGGAAGGATTCATCTTATTAACGCCAAACTCCCGGGAGCATGTCCAAACAGAAACTTGAGATTCAACTGATCAGACCGCTTTTTATCTACTCTTCACATCTCTTATTTTGTAATAATGTGCTCACTCGCTGTGCTTTGTTTGGTTCTTTCTGCACGCACCATTGCATCGAGCTGTGCTGAACATCCCTTTCTCAATCAAACACTGAAGTCCTGGTCAATGCATTTGTCACGTCCCGCAACGACTACTGTAACGCCATCCTCTCGGGCATTCCCACCAAGCTCATCAACAAACTACAAATCATACAGAACTCTGCAGCCCGGATCATCACCGGCACCAAGGCCTCAGAACACATCTCCCCCATCCTCATCCAACTCCACTGGCTCCTTGTTATATCCCGTATCAACTTCAAAAACCTACTGCTCACTTACAAAGCCCTACATAACCTGCCACCATGGGTGCTCGGGCTTTTAGCTGCACTGCTCCCAGACTCTGGAACTCCCTCCCCCCGCGCATCCAACAGTCAGACACAATCACCATATTCAAATCCCAATTAAAAACCCACCTGTTCAAATCTGCCTACTCACTGTAGTGCTCCCCATTATACGTTTCATTTGTATCCACTTGACTGTCTCCTCCATGATTTCCTGTTTGTGTTTTTATCATGTTCTGTTGCCTAATAGCATTTTCTTTTTTTTAAACAAATTGTACGGTGTCCTTGGGTGTCATGAAAGGCGCCGAAAAATTAAATGTATTATTATGTTTGCCTCCCTTGGCTTCACTGAGCTCATTACCCTACGACCTCATCCACTGACTAAAGCGATTTCACACTATAAATCACATGACTTTTTGTTGATTACACCATCCTGTAAACTTTAGACAGCGTACTGTGCATCAAAAGCCCAAGGGTGCAGGCGACTGTGATACAGCGACCAACATGTCTGGAACAGTCACATCTGTTCAAAGTCACTCTCGTGCTTCACTGTTTTCCTGTCTGCACGTTTGACATTCTTTTTTCACACAGTGTTTCAGACATGGACTGTGGCTATCAAAGTAAAGAAAAAAAGGACTGAACTGAAACATTCCATTGAAAAGAAAAGACATACAGTATGGAATGTTAACAAAAGTTGGATAACCTCTGCATTTACAACCATTTGAATTGTTCATTTTCAGCGCTTTTAACCATTAGGCTATGGAGGATGGTTTATTGGTATCAAGAAACATTAAAGGATAAAAGAACAGCAGCTGAGAAGAATATATGTACAGACCAAAAGTAGCAAATACTTGCCCTTTACATTTGTATTTGTTCTAATTCAATCTCAAATCATTTAAATTGAGTGTCAATATCATCCGCTTACTTTATCTATTGCAAATCTCTGAATTGAATGATGTGTAAACATTTTGCAAATGTAATGGGAGCAATTAGTTAGCATTCAAAAACAGCCCTGCATGAATGAGAGATGTACAACCAAAACACACGGGTTTGTAAAGTCTATTTGAGAGCCATAACGTTCTAAATCCTGAAGGAAGTTCTGTTTTTTCCCCACAACCAAATTCTTTCTTTTGTACTTGAGTGGAAAACTACAGATTAAGCGTATTGTAAGTTTCAAAAAGCTATTTCAGAAGTCCTTGCTCTAAGAAACAGACATTTAGTCACATATGCTCAAAATAAACCCATAAGCATTTCAACACGAATACGCCCAACAAATCCCTTCCCAATTAAAGGATGCTCTCTAAAGTGAAAACCATATTTTCTTTTGAAGAACTCTTTATTTGAAGAAACCATCATTAGAGACCTAACCCTAACCCTGCGTGGGAAAAGAGGTCAAGCTCAGTTAAATGGAAATCTGAGCTGCAACACCATCAGTGATGTTTCTCTGTAATCATAGCCTTTCTAGTGAAATGAGCATTTCTAATATGGAGTGCTGGAAAGTAACAAAGTACATTTACTCAAGTACTGTACTTAAGTAAAAAATTGCTGTACTTGAGTACTCTTCCCATTATGCTTCTTTCTACTTTTACTGTTGGCAAATATTGTAGTTTTTACTCCACTACATTTATTTTACAGATTAAGCTACTACTTACTTGGCAGATTTAGATTATAAATACAAAATATAAATCTAGTAAAATAGTACAAGATATTTTTGATAGATTAAGCTACCCAGTAGTAAATAATTTAATTCAAATAAACCCCCATATTTACCAAGTGCAAAATGGAATTGAACAAGTTCATGCATCAATAATTCTAAAAAAAATATTAAAAATATATGATGCTTAAATGGGCCTTTCTGCTAAAGACTACTTTTACTTCTGGTATTTGAATGCCAAATACTTTTGTACTTTTACTAAAGTACAATTTTGGAATGCAGGACTTTTAATTGACTACTAGTTTTACACTGTAGTATTGGTACTTTTACGTAAATAATGTACTTCTTCCACCTCTGGAAATACGCATTATAAGTCAAATGTTTGTAAAAGGAGACGTAATCATTTAAAATGTCTACCCTTTTTTGAGTCCTCAAAGTGTGAGAAACTGTTGTTGTGTGGTTATTTAAGGTAATGTGGGAACCTGCAAGTTATTATTTTTAATTAAGCCTCAGGATGACACATTCTTCACGGTGAAGATGACTGTTTGGAAAATTACACGCTAGATATGAGTCAGTTTATTATGAGCATGCCATCACATGCTTGCTGTCTGACAGGGGTATCTCAGTCCGTTAACTGTATTATAAAGTTAAAAACAAGTTTTAACCCAGGAAATGTCAAGAAAACAGTAACACAAGAGCAAGTTTTAACGCGTTTTGCTTTCTGATAATAACAGCGAAGTGAGCACGACAACACGATTGACGACAACAAACTTTTCAGGTAATAATGTCACCTACCTCAAACTGACGAACGCCAATACACCAAAAACATAAATTGTGGAAATATCTTCACCAACTTGAGATCCTTTTCACTAATCTGTTCGCCCAGTTGTTTGCTAACCTAGTACTCACTGGTCCATCTGGGAGGAACTCTGTCCAGGGAAGCAGAAGTTGTGAAGCCACTCCTCGCGCTGAAAATCTGCCTCCAATTAGGATTCCATGCATGCTGCCTTCAGGTACCGTCGGAAATGCAAATATCTGCTGCTTAGGCGTTAACCATCAACCAGTCAGATCTGTAAAACGTAAACTTCAAGCATAAGCTCTTTGCTTTAAGTGTTGCGTTTAAAGGGCATAGGAAATGTTAATATCTTTACTGCTGGAATTATACAGCCACATGCAGGAATGACTGAATGAATTTAGTAGCCATTTTTAACGTGACATGTTGAAGATCTCTCCCGCCCCCTGTCGCAGCAAGTGTCTCTGTGCTGCCTATTGTGTAACTCGATTTGTCAAATTAGAGCTACAGCTTCTGTTCAAACAGGTGGCCCTGCTTTTTTAAATACATTTAAAAATATGTTATTCCTTTGGAAAATGGAAATTCAAAGTCCTACACCAAAATATGTGCTTTCAGTTAATCAGGAACGGTCAGTGGGTCACTCACTACTTGACTTTGCTGCTTTTAAAGCATTTTGGATATTTTGTGCAGAAATCTAAGAAAAACCCAACATTTAGAGAGGAACAAGGTAATTAATGTTGGTCATTTATCAATACAAAAGTTACCGCTCAATTTAATACGTCAGTGTTTGTTTATATGAAAACTCAAGCATAGCGTTGCTTGCAGCCTCTCACTTTGGGATGGTTTAGACTTTTTCACTCATCTTTCAAACCCCTTGTCCTTTGTAAAAAAAAACGTGTACTCTGCTGTCTCCAAAAGAGTTTCAACTGTCTTATAAATGAAGACAGACTGCAGCTTTTTTTACCTGGGGGCTTTGCTCTATCTTGGTCATTTTTCATCTCCGAATGTATACGTCTCTGTAGACTATTTGCCATTGCCAGTTTCTGAAAATCACAGGGCTCTTTTGTTTATTTAGGATTAGACTGTGGGATGCTCTAGCCACATATAGGATGACTTATTACATCTTCACTTCTCTTCTCTGTGTTAGTTTGCTCTGTCTAACAGTTTCTGTGTTGACAAATGCCCACTTTGATTAACTGCAGCTTTTAAAGCTTCCCTGAGCTTTGCACATTGTCGGTTGCCTGAAAGCTATTTGGCAAAGCTTTGGCCATGTGGTGAAGAATCCTAATACACCATGACTTTTCCTTTGTTGTGGTCGAGTAAAATCTTACACCAACCTTGGAGCATTATTGAAACTATTACAACAAGACGAATGTTATTTTTTTGTTAGCATTATCAGACTGTTAGCTGGGGTTCAAACAAAGATTTATTCAAATTGTTCAAATATTTGAAGCTATTTTTAAATATAGTTTAAGCTTTGGCCACTTGAGATGTATAAAACTAGCAGCAGAAAGTTAATTTAAGGGGCCAAGGAGAAGAGATAACATTCCACAAATCATTACAAGCCATCGGAGCAGTTTACTGCTCCACCCCTTCTCTGGCAGTGCCAGTCAAACAGTGGTGTATCGAGCAGGACCCGGACAGGAGCGGAAAGGAGAAGACCCACTGGGGAAATCAGACAGGAAGGTGGGGTTGTGAGAGGTTGTGTTCTCCATTAGGGCCTGCCGTTTCTTGCGGTCACGCCTCTGATAGCGGAAGTTAAAGGGTGGTCGCATAGCTATGGGCCCTCCTATCTCTTCAGAGGAGGAGGCAAGAGGGTCAGCCCCTGGTGGTTGCTGTTGCTGGTTTACTAGATCTTCATCAGACTCACTTGAAGAGGAGGAAAGGAGGATAGAGGGGTTGGCAACAGGAGGGTCATAGGGCACAGGGTCAAAGGGCACAGGGTCAAAGGGCACAGGGAGAATGGGTGTGGGGTCAAAGGGTTCTGGTTGAACAGCAGGGGGCAGTGTGGGGTCAGAGGGAATAGGCAGTGGATCATATGTTGGATCTTCGATCAGAGGAGGGAAGGTCGGGATCTCAGGGTCTTGGGGGATGTCGTGACCTTGAGGCTGCACTGGTCTAAGGATATCGACATTCTGCAAACAAGAAGACATGATCAAGACCAAATTGATATTAGACAAACTCACTCTCACTGGCTGCAAAAAGACTCCCAGTCACGCAATATTGCATTACAAACCACAGCTCTAGAAAGGAGTGAGAAGACAGCGTAATTATAGCTCAGAACCATACCATTTTGAATCTCATGTGTAAGTTAAACACACACAAGAAAAATGTATATTAGAAGACACAACACACAAGATATGACGGAATAATTATATGGCCAGTGGCATTTGTTCAGAAAGAGTTGAATTATCATTTTAAAGGTTGCTTTAGTAACATCTGAAACAAAATAGAGAATAAAACATTCATCCAATCTCATTGAGGCAGCGGCTTATTACAACCCAACTGCAGCCCCACAGTGTGAAGTGATTGGCATTTCATGTAACATTTTTGCTGAATTTTCGTAACAATATGTTATTATCTTTTTAGGTCTACATGTATTTTTCAGCTGTGATTAATAATCCTTACTTCTGCTTTTTTGGTATATTGGTAGTCTTTAAGCCAGGTTTTACATAGGTCCACATGTTGACTGAATGCTCTAACAAACTGTAGAAATATGTTGGCATCAGTATTTAGAATAATGGAGTTTGAATGATTATATAATGTTTTTTAGATCTTAACAGTAACTTTTATTTTGGTCTCACTACCTCTTTGGGTTAATCCTTCAGGGATACGATGAGTAACACATTTTTCACGATAATTAACCTACAAACCAAAGGATAATCCTTGTACTGTAGGTGAAACCCTTGTTTCTGATTGGGATTGTACAATTCCTGTACCTTTATTTTAAACATCTCACAGGACACCTGAACATCAGGGTGGACGCCCATGTCTCCGTGCACAGATCCTGCGCAGAAACCTGCAGTCTGAGAGAAGAGATGAGACATTTCATCAATTTCATTATGATACTGGGTCACAGCAAGACCAAAAGCAACAGGATAGAGCAGGGGTTGTAAAATAATAAATAAATAAAAGAAGTTGAAGACTTGTCAGGCTTCTTTCATAAAATAATCAATCACTGCAGCCTTTTAGTGGTGTCAGTTTTATAACTAGAAAAACGGATCAATCATGTCTTCAAGTAACACTTCCAGGAGCTGCATAAGTGATAGTCAACTGGCTGATTGATGTTTATTATTATTATTATTATTACTATTATTATTAAGTTTTCCGAACACCATTAATTTGTGTCATAACAGTGTCAGGTTGTCAGGCATAGGGATCCATTTATTTTAATTAATGGAGCCTCTTCAGACAATGTTGTTCAATCACATCTCTCCCAATCAAGATTGCACTTATGCAACCACAGCTTTTGTGTGATTTATTTCAGTGTTAAACCAATTTAACATTTGACTTGTCTAATAGAGTGTGTTTGTTGTGCCGACATAGTCTCTTGTTTTCCCTCTGTGTTGAGTACCTCTGTGTCAGACTCCACTGTTAGTCGCTGGCAGGTGCCTCTTTCTGTCACTCCCTCTGAACACTCTTGGACTATGTACTCCACAAAGCTGGCTTTCACTGGCACAACCTGAATACAAAAGTTATATGGTCAGAAAAGGGCACATTTCACAAATAAACACACATATAAAGGCAGATACAGAAAGGACTATGATTGATGTTAAGAAATTGTCATCATTTATGTTTTAGAGCACCAAAACATTTACCCAAGGGAAGTTATTGAGCAATTTTCTGACCCTAACGCCCCAAGTAAACTAGTACGTTTAATATTTTCTTCCCAAACAAAAGGCCGCCAAGACAGTAAAGTCTAAAGTGCCCCAAGTCATTCGCTGCAACCTCAGCCTGTATCATTATGTTATTTGTGGAGCAATAAAGGCACACATAAGCTCAAAGGTGCACTTTTCCATCTGCTCATGTACACCCAGAGATTTACCTCAGGTTACATTTCGCAATAAACGTAATATTCAACACATTGTTGTGTAATGAAATCAGCTTTGTGTGTCCAGTCAGAGTTAATAACTGTAGATGCAGGCGTACCTGTGCTGAAGCTCGGGTGATCTTCTTCACTCCCAGCCCTGCTCCCACTGTGGACTGTCTCTTATAGGAGTCCAGAGTGGCCCGGGCAGCGTCCACAGCCTGTGGGCTATCTGCAGGCAGCAGGAGGGGGCAGGTGGGACAGGTCTGCTGGAGCTTCTCTGGGGCATCTACAGGAACCAGAAAGGGATCATATAAAAGATTGAATAGTTATATCTGCTCTGAAATGACAACTAACAAGGTATTATCAGTAGAATATAATAGGCAGACATGCATACTGTAGGTATTAAATAAAAGCAGTGGTTATCAGTATTCAGTAATAGCTGGCTCTATTAAATAAATTATCTTTTTAAACAGTCTCTCGTTAATAATTTCATAAAGCCCTTAAAAGTACACCCACACAGGTGTTTTAAATGATTTTAGCTGGAATTAAGGAAATAATTGCTTGCAGCGTTAAGATTTCTTATACAAATTAAAATGAATTAAAGCGCTACAGATGGGAAGGTGTTCCAGGCCTTTAGGTGATATACAAATAAATATTGAATCTCCGATTGACACTAGGGTGAAACTAATCAACATTTCCATGGCCAACTATTTGATTTGTCATAGTGGGAAATGCACAGGTGTGGCTAATTATATTAATTAAGGCACAGTTCCGTCTAATTGTGGCAGTAAGCCATTATTAATGTTATTAGTTTCACCTGTTAATCACAATGTCTATTCAAAGAGAAATATCTTCTCTGATGAGCTGCCAAACAGAGCTATATTATTTGCACAAATAATACCTGTGGAGAAATTCATATTATTTGCAATTTCCTTATAATGCTAAACAATAGTTTTAACATACCTGGGACCAGAGTGCAGTCGTAGCTGTACAGATAGGAGTATCCCTCTGGTGTGTGCAGAATGGTGGTATTGCAGTTTCCAGAGATTTGCTGTGAGGAATACGATGAAAATAGAATATAACATGTACAATAGACCCCGGTTAATGCCGCTTACACAGATTTAACAGCATGTAACAATCCAAGTCAAACTTTGAGTTTGTGTGCGTGTTCTGTTGTTTTTGTGTAGGAACCAAAGTTGTATACCTTGAGTGAGAACATGTTGTGTATTTCTTCTTAGATGTACTGTTTGTGGGAAAATAGTTGGGTTTTACGGTTAAGGTTTAGCTTAGAATTAGGTTCAAAATTTAGTCCAGCTCAAGTGTTAAAATTAAGGATTAGGGGCTACACTGCAGAAAGTCCCCTGAGGCAAATTAGTCAATTGTTATGTAGAATATACGGGTTGAAATGAGCTTGAATCCAAATCTAAACCATAAATTCAAAAGAAAGGTAATGAATTTGTTCACAATCAAGATATACACTGCTCTATTTACAGAGTGGGTTACAGGGACAGTCCTTACAACAGTGTGTGTGTGTGTGTGTGTGTGTGTCGTACTGTGTCCATGAATGGTCGGACGTCACAGCGTTTCCATGGTTTTGGGCTGCCTATGTGACACTTGGTCTCCAGGACATCCAGGTCCAGGTAATAGACATTGCCCGCTGGGCCCTGACAGGCACAATGCAAACACAGGTAATAAGAGAGGATGTACAAACACTGCTGTGTGCTCAGATGTTCCAATCATGCTGTTATATGGCCCAGACTTTCTGTTTATGAAATAAATAGAACCTTTGCACATATTGTATTATATATCAATCAATCAATCAATCAATCAATGTTTATTTATATAGCCCAATATCACAAATGTTACATTTGTCTCAGTGGTCTTCACAGTTTGTACAGAATATCAGTATGACAATATGACACCCTCTGTCCTTAGACCCTCACATCGTGAGGGTTTATATCAGAGGTTCTATTGTTTAATAAATCTGTCAAGTGCCTCCATGTGTTCATATTTTAAAGGAACCATTTATGAGGCACTGTGTGGGATTCCCTATAACACTTTGGACGATTTTAGTGGTGGTATTAAAAACAAATTACAACAATTTGAGCACTTGTAATGGCAGCCTTTTCAGGTCATGAAGTTGAAGTGAGCCTCTTGAATCCTGATTTATCCCACAGTCTGGTTACAATAGCCCTCAGCAGCTGACAGCATGAAGTTCATAAAGCCTGTCGTGTTAAGTCTGTCCCAGAGCTCCTGGACTGAAAAGACCTGGACTTCTACTGTTGCTTGAGTCCTAAAGGCTTCTTTCATGAGGCATGAAGAAGTTGGATTGTGATTTCATAATATACAATTCTGTACATCAAATTCTGATGGCATGCATTCACAGCGAACACCACATATTTATTTTTGTTTTTAGTCTTTCGTGGTGGTGCACTAACTAGCTATTTTTCAAGTGTTTGTCAGTGGTTCCCAAACTAGGGTCTGGGGACCGCAATCGGTATTGGAAGCAGAGTTTAATTTAATTATCATCTCCCCAAAGTGGGAGTCGACACATTGTTAAATGTAAGAGGGTGATTTCTGATTAGAATTTTGACTGTGCACAGTCATTTGTGACAACAAAACACACATTTTCTCAAATAGGATTCCACTGACATGACAATTGGCTGGTTGGTTAAATCTATCAACATGAGACTTCCCTTCTTCACACGGATGTTTAGTATTTTCAGCAACAGAAGGGGAAATAACCTTTCCACCCTCTTTCCTTTGTTAAACATGAACAAATCACCCGCTGACAGAATATTACAACAACAGCAGGCAGCTTCTCCCACTGGGCATTTGCCTCTTTACTGACCTGAGCATGCAGGTGGACATTTGCAATGCGGTTGAGGGCAAACTTGTAGCCGTCAGTGCGATCCTCATTGATGTAAGTGACAGCCAGACGAGACAGCTTCTCCACTGCTTTGTCATTACAGGGGATGGGAGCAAGTTGGATGGGCGATAAATCCAAACCCTCACCGTACACACACAGAGTTTGAATAGATAGCAGGGATAATAGCAGTAATAATCTGCAGATAGATTTGTCCATGGTGGCAGTGGCTCCAGACAGGAGCTGAAGTACTGAGCTGGTTTAAAGTCAAGTTTGTTCTCTTTTGTTTGCATTTGGTCAACAGCACACAGATGTTGAAATGATGCCAAGGACAAAGTTTATTTGATGTCAGAGGACTGTTATTTGTGAATGAATGTCTCTGTGAGTTATTTAACCTGTGGACCACTGTAAAACAAATACAATGAACATCACATTTCAACAAAAAATAATGCATGCATAAATGGGATTTCTTATTTTTAGGTGAGGACGGTGATCTGCTTTATCCCTTAAAAATTAAGTGTAGTAAATATATAACAAAATTGTTAATGCTATAATCCCCATTTACACTATGTCTTGGACCAAGGAATTAGTCATATGTTGTATCTGCACTATAATGATATAACCACAAGGGGTCACTGTGAGTCTGGTCTGCTGTACTGGTAGACAAATCTGGCAGAATTTGTGGTCCACCAGACAGAACTGGGTTAATGATTCTCTTATGTCGAGTTAATTACTTTCAGCATTAGACTTGCTGCTGTATTATAACCTTCTACCTCCGATATTTGTGTTTTCTGTCTTGATTTCCCCCCAAAAAGCCCCCTCCAAAAAATAATTCAGATGATTTATCTGACTGTATTTAGCTCAAAAGCAATGGTTAACCTCTTAGCTCCAAATATTATGATGTATTCACACAACAAAATATATGAATGAATTTCTAATCAATGGAATGCAATGGTTTTTGTTATATTTCCTTAATACATAGCAGCAAACAGTTGAACAGGGCTCCCATGCTCTAATCTGTGTTATGGGTGGGGTTCACACCTTTGGAGCAGTCGGATTGTTTCCTTTGTTCACAACAAGACCGATTAATGTCTGTAATGTTGAGTACATAGTAGCACTCTATACATTTGTCTCAACATTTTCCATCTTAAGTATTTTCTTTTTTTTCAAACTACTGTAGATGAATGTTTAAAAACCGTGTTTGTGGACCTTTGAAGTCAATACAAAAATATAATTTTTACCAGAGATATAGCTGCGTGACTCCATGTATGGTATTTTTCCAGACTAGAACCAGATGGATTGTTGCTTCAGTTATTTATTATCCCTGCAGGATACAATTTAATGACTTTGGTAATCCCCCCTTTTTCCCTCAGGCATTACCATCAGTTTGTAAAATACCTTAGCATCTATTGTATAGATTAGAACATAATATCTTGTAAACACATTCAGCTCCCTGATGATGAGTCTTGACATACCCCCTGACTTGACATATCACAAGATCACCCATAATATCCACCTTGTCATGCTTTGAGCAAAGATGTTCTATAACTAAAGATGATGGATTATTACTAGTGGCGCCAATGGCATGGTAAATGAGTGCATTTATATTGTGCTTTATCCAATTTGTATGACTCCTTAAAGCACTTTTACAGAGGTGGGGGGCTGCCATGCAAGGTTCCATCTGCTCAAGGAAGCTAATATTCACACTGGCATTCACACATGCTATCTGGAGTATCTTGCCCAAGGATACATCACCATGATGACTGCAGGGGCCGGGATCAAACCCACAACCTTCTGATTGGAAGCAACCACACTACCCCACAGTCACCCATAATATGAAATGATATAAAAATTAAACATATGTGATGCAGAAACAGCCTGTACTTGTACTGTATTTGTTGCACCCTAAATGATATTGTTGTCAATGCAGATGCATGGACCAAATACCTGCAATCTAAAATAATTCCCCATTGACCTCACAAGTACAGTTTAGCATACTGATGTCAACAATATACTCAAATCACTGTACAGCCACAGAGGCAGTTAGAATATCTGTAGACTCTACTCCAAAATACTATTCAGGTTTTACTAGTGTAACCCTAACTAGCAATCCTGTAGTATGAGGGGCATAATAATTAGCGTAAATACAGTTTGTTGTGATGTATAACTAAACATATTAATTATGGTTTAAGTGACTAAGTGGTAACATTTTACATACAATTTGTAGTGGGTTCGTATTGAAAGCAACGATCCAGGGATAAATCATTTTACCCGCTTCAAATATTCACTGAACCAGGTTCAGCGCTCAACAGGAGCTGGAGGAGGGAGAGAGAGAGATTGAGACTCACTCAGCAGAACAAATTCTGCTAATATCAGAGGAAGAAAAAGAGCTGCCTGTGTGTGTGTGTGTTTTTGTATGTGAGTTTGTTGATGTGCTTCGGTACATGATAATGTGCACCAGTGTTTGTCTGTGTGCACATTTGACCGTGCAGAGCCATGATTGCATGCGTCAGTGTTACCGGCAGCTACTTGTGTTGCAGCAGAAAGCAGAAGGAGTCTGTGGGGGAGAGATAAGAACGGCGAGGCTGCTCCAAGGACTCCATCTACCAGCACAACGCCAGACCCAAGTTAGACAAACCTCCTTTGATGTGAGCACAGAGTAATCTCCCCTTCTTCTCAGTGCGGAGAGATGCCACGCTGTAGTGATGCCCAGGCCCAGATAGGATGGGGGCTGCTGCCACTGGGGCTCCTGCTGTTCAGGATCGTGTTTGATGATGGGCCCTGGGTGAGAAGAGAAGATAACATTTCCTGTTTGACTTGCTCTAAATAGCGTTTTGAAAGGAGTCATTGAAGTTTCTTGTAGTGGAAAGTTTCACTCTGACATGGTCTTAATGGTGTTTCAGGGGAGTTCAATATTGGTATTGTTTTTCAGTGGAGAGTTTCAATGTGGCACGGTCTAAATGCTGTTTCACAGATATTCTCACCTTGCCAAGAACACATTTCTGGGGGAAAGGCTGGCAGAACTCTCCTGAATCATCCCCTGCCATGGGAGGGAATGAAATGGTTTCTGTGCCGCACTGCATATTAAGGAAAAAAAGAAAAGCCCGATACTATTTCTCCTGTTTTCCTTTCTAATCACATTCTACCTGGGATTTGTATTTCTGCATCAGTGTTCACATACTTTACTTTGTCCATCTCGCACATACGTGTGAACGAATTGAAGACAATTACAGGATAGCAGCCAACCTTTATCTTTTGGAAATCATCCTCTTTTATTCACACATACACTATCCTTGCCTTTGTCTTCTCTTTTACAGTATATATCTCTTTCTCCTTTTACTGTTTCGGTCTCTTTCTTTCGTAAGATGCTGCCGGGATTTATTTGTGTATCTTATCGGTCACACTGCATAGAAATAGAAAGACATATAAGGATGGAGAGAGAGAGTAGGAAGAGGGATAATTCCCTCATTTAATTGGTTTAAAACTTGTTGTCCCCTGGAGGAGCTGCTTCTTACAGTGTTGTGGCCAAAACATGGACACTGATGCTAAACCCATTACATTTCACTGTAATTGGTCAAGCTGGGAGCTCAAGCTAACAAAGCTTTCACAGTTGATCGGCATTCTCTGCAGCAGTGGTCACAAATCCCTGTCATCTTACTTGGTTAAAGTCGTCAGGTTTAGACTCTTAATTTCCACATTGTGTATTCAGATTCTCTCACTGCAGCCACAGTTAATGAGCACGGGACCCACACTGAACATTAGTTGTATGAGGAGTTATTTGATTTGTATGCCTGTAGTTAGTGCCTGTATTCTCATTAAGAGAGGAGAAAGAACAATACTCTCTAAAACGTTTACATTTAAACTTTAAGCAATGGTTTGTTTTGTAATTATCTTTGAAACCTATGTATTTTAACATATCTAGGTTCAAGAGTCAAATACCCTACACGCAGCACAGTTAGGGAAATGCATACATTTTCCACATATTTTTGTTTAACCTATAATAGAGGATTATGTTAAATCATGTTATGATATTAAATAATTTGTCCTTATCTTGCACTGTATTCTATTTAAATCCAAAGGCTGCATATGCTAGGAATTGGCTTCTTTGTCCTTGCTGAAACGTTCCAGATGGATACAGAGACCTCTTTGATTTACATTCCAAAGCAAAGCGGCATAAAATGGTAAACAATAATCTAAAGAGGATATAAAATGTAAGGAATATTCTCTGTGGCTTTGTAAATCTCAGAGACCACTTTTCACTGTAGTAATTTGATTCACTGTTAAAAAAAGAAAGAAAATGTAGCAATGCAGCTTTTGATGTTTTTTGCTTGTCATTTAAAGCATTTTGCGAGGTGCAAATTGAGATGCATTGCACAGTAAATGACAATCAAATTATAGATCCATCATATTGAGTCTCAGAGAGGGAGAAATACAGGGGAGCATAGTCATGTCAGAGTGTGTTACAGAAACCCAGAGTTGGGATGATGATGCTCACAGTGAGAGAGACTGGCTCAATCACTGAATGTGATTGAAGTACCATGTGTGGTACTCCAAAGTCTGGCCTTCGTGATGCATTGCCCACTCCTCATTTTACCTCCACGGTCAACTCTAAGATGTATCACAACCAGTCACCTGCTACCCACTACTTGGCTGGACATCAGTGCCAGTATTGCTCACGGAAAGATAATTATTTGGCAGTATTATTGTGGCTATTTGGAGCATGTCCTAACCTCTACTTGCTATATTGCAGGCTTCTGTATTCATTTATCTCAAATGTGTTGGGTTTTTGTGATATAAAACCTGTCTGCATGTTGTTGTCTGCCTATGTACTCTTCTCTGTTTGTGTGTGTGTGTTATATGTTTTCATGTGTGTGTGTAAGAAAAGAAAGAGAGGGGTTAGGGAGAAGTCACTGAGTCAATGCATGACCTTGTCTAACCGCTGGTTATCAAACTCTTGACTACTAAAACTTTTTCAGCCCTAAAGCCTATTTATACACCCATACAGGCCGCTTTGATGTCGGCACTTAAAAGCATCACTAACTCACCCCGGAGGAAGAGCCTGGCACACAGAGTCTGGATGTCTCAGCCTGTGTGTGTGTGTGTGTGTGTGTGTGTGTGTGTGTGTGTGTGTGTGTGTGTGTGTGTGTGTGTGTGTGTGTGTGTGTGTGTGTGTGTGTGTGTGTGTGTGTGTGTGTGTGTGTGTGTGTGTGTGTGTGTGTGTGTGTGCTCACCATCCCTGTTTGGCTTCATGATGACGTACGGCCCGTCCGCAC